GAATCAGAGCAAAATGATCACACTGAATAGTTCAAACTATCAGCTGTGGAAAGGAAAAATGGAGGACCTTCTTTATGTGAAGGAATTTCATGAGCTTGTCTTTTCAGAGCAAAAGCCAAACAGCATAAAGGATGAAGAATGGAGGCTACTCCATAAACGAGTGTGTGGATTTATCCAACAATGGATTGATGATAGTGTGCTAAATCATATCAATGATGAAACTAATGCACGCACACTATGGACAAAGCTAGACGAGCTTTTCCAGGTGAAGATTGGGTAGAATAAATTGTGTTATATAAAGCAATTGATGTACTCAAGGTACAAAGATGGCACTCCCACAGCAAACCATGTTAATGATTTCCTTGGCATCATCAAGGAGTTAGCCAATTTGGGCATAGAATTTGATGATGAGGTGAATGGTTTGATTCTTCTCAACACCTTGCCGAAATCATGGGAGAGTTTTAGATCAACAATGATCAATTCATCTCCTGGTGGTAAAGTCACAGTAGAAATCACCAAAAACAGAATCTTTGAAAAAGAAAAAAGGATGCGGGCACTAGAATCTTCTCATAGTCAGATACTTAAGCTCTAGTCACAGAGAATAGGGACAAGAGTAAGACCAGAGAACCCAGAGGACGAGGAGGTAGATCCAAATCAAAGTCCAAAAGTAGAGTGAAGTGTTAACATTGTGGTCAACCAGGCCACATGAAAAGGAACTGCAACTTGTTGAAAGGAAAAGACAAGAAAAAGGTTGAAGATAGCAATACTACCATTGTAGCATCTACCAGTGGCGATGATGTGACTCTACTATGTGATCATGGGGAGTGCTGCCACATAGAAAACTCAAATGCCGAGTGGATAATTGATTCTAGCGCCTTTTATCATTGTGTTCCCAAAAGGGAATATTTTTCAACATACAAAGCAAGAGGCTTTGGCACCATAAAATGGGAAACAATTGTGTTTCTCATACTATGGGAATTGATGATATTTGTGTCCAGACAAATGTTGGATGTACATTGACACCAAAAAATGTGCAACATGTTCTTGATATGCATATGAATCTGTTGTCTGCAAAAGCACTGGATGAAGAAGGATACACACACTACTTTGAGAATGGCAATTGGAAACTCACCAAAGGATTAATGGTGGTGGCAAAAGGAAGAGCATGTTGCTCATTAGACAAGACACACATAAAAATGTGTGGAGGTTAACTGAACACAGTTGAAGATGAGGCTTCTCCAAATTTATGGCATAATAGATTAGCTCACATGAGC